TATTCTTTTTGATATTAATATTATTTGCAAAACAAGAAGCAACAAAATTTGATAATAATACAGAAACAACAAGAGAAGAAGGAGGAAGAGGAGGAGAAGAAGCAACAGAAACAACAATGAAAAATGAAGAAGCAACAAAAGCTGAAACAAATAGAATAACTGAAGCAAAAATAATAATTGAAGCAAATAGAAATAAAAATGAAACAAGAAAGGAAAATGAAACAAAAGAAGAAATTGAAGCAAGTAATAAAACTGAAGCAAAAAATAAAACAAAAAACGAAGCAGAAGCAAATGTTCTAAAATCTGCTAGACAAGAAGAATTGACAACTTTGGATGATTCAAATGACGAAATTTCTTCTTCAACAATAACAACATCTAGTACTAGTAATACTTCAACAGATCGTTGTTTGCATGTTGACTGTCCTATTGTATTTCCTGATTGCCCTAGTGATTCAGTTGTAAGTTTGTTTTTTTTAAAGTTTTCTACTAGAGAATAAATAAAACTTAAGAGAGAACTTAAGAGAAATAAAACTTAAGCTTGAACTTGAAATTGTAAACTTGAATTTAAGCTTAGACTTGAAAATAAAACTTGAATTTAAGCTTAAACTTTAATTTTTTGTTAAACAAACAATATTGAAAGCTCAAGTTTGTTTAATTTTTTTTAAGTTTACAAACTTCATTTTTATTATTTTTAAGTTTAAATATTATATTTTTCAAGTATCCAATTTTCTTCAAAATCTAAAATTCTTCTACTATTTGAATCATTTTTCCTTATTTTTTAGCCTATCCTTAGCTTCACTCCAACAACTGATAATTCTTCATTAGCAGAAGATAATTGTTGTTCCCTAACTAGAGTAGAATGTAAATGTGATTCCCAAAAGTGTTTGGTCCCAATATGCCCTGAAGGAACAGAATTAACATTTACACACAATGGGAGTGATAAGCCTGGACAATGTTGTGATCAATTTGAATGTAGACTAAATGGTTTTTAAAATAATTTTTATTTTACTTAAAATTTATTTAAAGAACCAAACTGTCAAAATGTTCATTGCCCTGACATTTCATCAATAATTTTGGATCCTTATTCACCCGATGGACACACTTGCCCAGATGATAGGTAAACCTATTATTCATAAAAAATTTTTCAAAATGTTTTTCTAGTTACCGGCCTAAACCTTACATTCCAACTGGCGGTTGTTGTCCAATCATATCGCAATGTCAATGTAAACTGAGCATTTGTGAACCGGTAATACTTATTTTTTATAATAGAAAAGTTGTATATTTAATTTTCAAGTTCAAACTTAAAAGTTTAATTTTCGCTTTAAGCTTAAACTTGAAAAAGATATAACTTAAAACTTGTTTACAATTATAAATTTACAAATTGTAAAATGACATACAGAATATTAATTAAACTTGAAAACATTTTTTACAATTACAAATTATGTAGTTGTAAAGTTTAAATAAACTTGAAGTGACTTTAAGTTTAAACTTGAAAAACTTTGTGTCACTTCAAGTTTATTTAAATTTTACAATTTGTAATTTAGAATTGTAAAAAGAAAGTTTTCAAGTTTAATTATTAAAGTTTAATTTTCTATTCTCTTTGTTATTTTACAATTTGTAATTCTTAATTGTAAAACTTGCTTTTTTCAAGTTTGAACTTTATTTCTTCTATTTTTAAGGCTCTATGCTTACCAGAACAGCAATTGCTAATATTAGAACGAGGTCGAGGCGAGCCTGGTCAATGTTGTGATAAATTTAAATGTGTAAATGAAGGAGATGAAATTGAAGGATTATTTTTAGAATCGAGTAGTAATAGTGGTTGTCGTTATGGAGGTATTTTTTTTAATTTTTAAAATTATAGAAAAAAATATTTTTTAAAGGCCATATTTATGCTAAAGGTGAACATTGGCATGCAGCACCGTGTCAAGAATGTGAAGTAAATATTAGTTTATAATTATTTTGGCCAGTGATGTACAAGAGACTCTCTTGGTCTTAAATTTTGAAATCATACTTTTTTGGGAATTTTTTTTTGCCGCAAATCTTGAAAATTTTCTCAGTCTTTTTAGAACATCACTTAAGGAAAATGAGGAAGATACTGGGACACAGGGATTTTTTTGCCTTATATTTTAAGGAAATGAGGTAGATCCAATGGGTAGCATTTAAAAAATACTAGGCGGGAGTTTAGGACCATCTACTTATTAAAGATGAAGGTAAGAAAGTCACCTACCTCTCTGGAGCTCACATCAGAGTATCAATGCCTGCTCGAGGCCTCTCTCTTTTCCCATATTTTCTATTTTTTTTTTAATTTTTAGTGTAGCTCTGCTGGTGTTGCATTATGCAAAAGAATGGAATGTCCAGCCTTATCACGTAGCTTTCTTCTTGATAAAAATTTGAAAAAAAATTAATTTTCAAGCGGATTGTCAATGGGTTGGTCTGTCACAAGGAGAATGTTGCCCAGTTTGTTTGGGATGTACTGATGATAATGGCAAAAATTATTTGCCTGGATCAAATTGGGAACGTGATGGTTGTACAAATTGTACTTGTGGAGGAAGCGAAGAAAATTTTGTTGATGATGATTTTCATTGGCAATGTCAAAAATATATTTGTCAAACAGATTGTGAAGAGCCTAAACCTGCCGGAAGTAATGAATGTTGTCCTATTTGTGAGGGTAAATTAAGAATTATTTTTTGAAAATTTTTCTGAAAATTTTTTTGAAATTTTTTTTTGCAAAAATTTTTTAGAAAAAATTTTTGAAATTTTTTTCCTGAAAATTTTTCAGAAAATTTTTTGAAATTTTTTGAATTTTTTTTTTCTAAAATTTTTTCTGGAAATTTTTTCAGAAAAAAAATTCTGAAATTTTTTTTTGAAATATTTTTCTGAAATATTTTTTTTAATTTTTCAAAAAAAAATTATTTTTTTAGATGGCCCAACAATAGCTTTAGAATCTTCATTTTCCTCTTCGTCTTCCTGTCCGTCCCTTTCAAATTGTGAATTACTTTGTCAATATGGGTTGAATCAAAACAATTTTACTGGATGTTTTGAGTGTAAATGTGCTGGAGAAGGAGAAAATAATAATGTTGAAATTGAGGAAGAAAATAAACAACAACAACAACAAGATTCTATTAATATTACAACAAATTGTGAACCAGTAACAAAAGAAAATTGTTTGTATAATGATCATGCTTATAGTATTGGGGAGAATTTTCAGGTTGTGTTTAAAATGTATTTATTTTGTTTTTGTATTTTCTTTGTTTTTGTATTTTTGTATTTTTTGTGTTTTTTTAAATTTAGGTTTATTTTATTTTGTGTTTTCTGTTTGTGTTTTTTGTTTTTATTTTTGTTGTGTTTTTCTTAATTCAAGTTTATTTGTTTTGTGTTTTTCTAGGTTTTAATTCAAGTTTATTTATTTTTTGTGTTTTTCTTAATTCAAGCTTATTTGTTTTGTGTTTTTCTATGTTTTAATTCAAGTTTGTTTATTTTGTGTTTTTCCATGTTTTATTTGTTTTGTGTTTTTTTGTTTTAATTCAAGTCTATTTTTATATCACAACATTAATAATATTTTTGTATTTTCAGGATGGTCCTTTCCGTAACTGCAGTTGCCTTTTAGGCGGTATGCTTAAATGTGTAGAAATTCACTGTCCACCTTGTTCTTCCTTATCTCTACCAATCATTTCAACAACAGATAAAATTGAAAATAATCAACAAATAGAAACAACAGGAATGAATTGGTGTTTACAATTATGTTTACAACAACAAAAACAAACTGAGAATAATAAAGAACAACAGCAACAACAACAACAACTTGTTGCTTTTGAAAGAGGAAGTGAAGAAACATTGCTGTTTGAAAATTTGCAACAGCAGAGTAATTCAACAACAACAACTAAAGGTTGGAAAAAAATGTTTTATTTTTTTAAGTTTATGTATTTTGTATTTTTGTGAGCAAAACAAAGTTTATAGTGTTTTTAATTTTTGTATTTTCTATTTTTAGTTAAACAAAACAAGTTTTAATTTACCAAGTTTTAAGTTTGTTTAGGTTTTTAAGTTTATTTTTTTTTGTGTTTTCAATTTTTGTATTTTTTGTGTTTTATATTTTTAGAAACAAGTTTTAATTCAATAAGGTTTTAAGTTTTTAGGTTTCCAAGTTTTGTGTTTTTGTGTTTTATGTTGTTGTATTTTTTTGTGTTTTATATTTTAAAAACATTCGCGCAATTTATTTTTAAAAAATATTTAATATTAAATCCTAGCTTTTTAATAAATTGGTATTTGGCACGAAAAAAAAGAGAATGAAGAGAAAAAGAAGAAAAATATAAATAAAATATTAAAAAAAAAAATACCAAAAAAAAGTCAGGAAGCCAATTGTACATGTATGAGCGAATAACAAGAAAATTGTTTTTAACATTTAATAATTTCTCGAGAAATTATTACCATTAACAACAACAAACAATGTTTGATGTAATTGTGCTGCCCTTTAATTAATCCAAACGGGAAACAAAAGAATAAATGTTTAAATAACTAGAGGGGAATTGAGAGGTTTAAATAGTACTTGCTTCCTAGAAAAACAAAATCAGAATTTTATTTAAACATTTTGAGAAATCAAACATCAGAAACTTATTTAAACATTTTTGAATTAAGAATCAGAATTTTATATAAACAACCTGACGAACTAGAAATCATTCATTTAAACATTCTAAAAACAAAAGATCAGAATTTTATTTAAACATTTTGAAAAATCAAAAATCAGAATTTCATCTGAACATTTTTTACTATATCTAAATATTCTTCAGAAACATATAAAAATCAGAATTTTATTTAAACATTCTGTCAAAAATCAGAATCCTTGAAAAATCAGAGAATTTATTATTAAATATTAAAAGCATAAATGTATTTATTATTCAATTTATTATTTTAAAAATGCAATTATTATGTGAGGAAAAACAAATATTTGTATACTAAACAAAATTCAGTCATCATTTTTTAAAAACTATTTATAAAATCTTTTTTTATCTCACTTGTAAAGGAACAGCCGCCCCTTCTTTTTCAACTACAAAAGGTGTTGGAAATCTTCGACGCTTTTTCATCATCCCCATTAAACCTGGGGTGCCACAAATTGGAGAGCACTCTGTAATCATACAAGCGCGGATAAGCCGTAGAGTGGCTAATGCTTCCTGGAATTTTTTTTAATCTTCCAGAAATGTTCAAAAAATTTTACCTGTTCTCCTGCTTGTCCAGGCATATGCCCGAGTTCATGTGTAGCTCCTTTAGCAATGCTGTACCAACAATCCATTTTACAACAACGACAAGGATTGTGGGCGAATTGGTCAGCGTTACAAACATCAGCAGCTTTGTTTTCAATAGCTACAAAGAAAATTCTGATTTTTCAAGGAATGTTTAGATGAAATTCTGATTTTCTACATGTTTGTGGGAATGTTTGAATGATATTCTGAATTAACAGATGTTTTTTTAAAAAATGTTTATATAAAATTCTGATTTTCAAGGAATGTTTAGATGAAATTCTGATTTTCTACATATCTATAGGAATGTTCAAACGAAATTCTGAATTTTTAAATGTTTTTAACCATGTTTGAATGAAGTTCTGACGATACCTTGTGTTAGTATAACCATCTGAACAATTACAAAAATAATAGTAAAAGTATGAAGAAACATAATGTTGGAGTAAAATAAATTTGATGTTTTTGTTTAAATCTTTTAAAAAATTTAATAAATAAAATTCAATGTTTTTCTTAACAAATAATAAAAAAATGTTTTTATGTCAATGTTTATTAAATCAAGAAGTTTTTAGGAAGTGCGTTTACAAGGCAAGAAGGAAAGAGAGAAAAGAGGGAAGAGGAAAGGAGGAAATTAAATTTTTTTGGAATTTTTTGGCCACCAATTTCAACAACAAAAAATTATTATTATCTTTTTTCTCAATTATTAGTCTAAAAAACATCAAAAAAAATTTCCGTGTCGAATAAATTTAAAAAAAAATAATTTTTTTTAAAACTAAATTAAACTTCACATGGTACTCAACCAAAAATAATTTAACGTCATATAAACAAAATAAAAATTAGCTTCATTTAGAAAATAACTCAAGACAAAAAATATACTTACTAGTCTAAAATTACAAACAGAAAAAAAAGTATAGTAGAAAATAAATGAAAAAATACATATGCCCTTTTTGCATATAATGCAATAATTTCCGTGTGTTTCCTTTCTTTTAAAAAACAACAAGAAAAAAAAGTTGTCAATCAGCTTGACAAAATATAAAGGATTTAGACATAGGGGGGATTTAAAAATAAAAATATGTAAGTTGAAAGAATAAAATTATTAAAAAATAAAATTAAAAATATGGATAAATAGTAAAACAAAATTATTCACAATTTTTCAAGTCTTAACATTTTAAATTATTTTATTAAATAACGCTTAATGTTATATTATTAAATGTCGATATATACAATAAATTTTTAGATTGCTTAACATTTAAATTAACATTTAACAAAAAAAATTTTTTTAAGATAGAATTTGTTGAATACTGATTCATAAGCTTGCTTTTTACATTAAACGTTAAAAAAAGAATGAATAATTTGTTTAAAATGTTAAAAATAACAATATAAAAGATGCTGAAAACGATTATATGATCATCAATTGAATTTAAAAAATTAAATTAAATAATCCTCTATCCTTTAAAATAAAAAAATATAAAATCGTTTCCCTTATCCTTTTACAATCTTAATATTAAAATATTTATATTTTTACTAAATTCTAAAATAGGTCAGAATGATCAATCTCATAAATTATAGTTGGATAAACTTTTTTTATGTATGTAAACTTAACAGAATTATATATCTATTAAATTTACATACATAAAATTGTTTATCCAAATCCATTCTGACCTAAATAAAATATATCAATAAAATATACATATATCATTTTGATAAATTTTAGTTTCCCTTTAGTCGCTACTCGCGTTCCATTTAAAACTGAAAAATGAGACAAGAAATTATTATGCTTATATTATTATTTGGTCTATTTTCTAGCAGCGAATCCATGAGTAAATTAGAGGCTAATATTGCAACCAAGAAAATTCTAAAAGAGATGGTAGATCTTAATACTTAACCGATAAACGTTAAAATTAGGGTTGAACACGACTAGTTTTAACCCGAAAAATTTCGTTATTATTTGCCAAAAATTAAGCTTTTATAAAATTAAAAACCTAAAATTTATGAAAATTAGTGATTCTTTTAAAATTACTTCAAAATAAAACCGGTATTTGACTAAAACTCAGAACCGATAACCAGGGGTACCTGTTAATAACCAAAAATACCGGGTTTGTGCCCCCAACCCTGGTTAAAATCTATCATTTTAAAATTTAGTGTAGCGGGGAGCGACATGATTCTGATTCTGGGAAGATTTTATGTGATACAATTATTAACTTCATGGAAAGTCTTTCGATTAGCGGGTGTGTGAACGCAGCAAAATTACTAGCTGGTACGGTTAATTGCGAAATTTCATTTTCTAACTATGCGGAGTTTTTGGAGTCTACATGTAAAAATTATTTTTTATTTAACAACAAACTTTGGTGCCCACTTCGAGACCCGTGTTGTATTAAACACGCGGACGAAATTGTACGGGGGTTATTCCCCAGTTGCTCAGAAATAGCAAAGGCTATAATTGATTTATCAAGTAAAATCTGTAATACATCAAAAAATGCGGGAGTGGAGTCTGCTAATGAAGGCTGTAGAGTTGCCGTTAACTTGGCAATATTTAAACCGCGCCAAGCTTGTTATCAAATATTTTCGCCTACGCATCTTGCACCTTCCAATCCAAGCAGCTTTTATTAGAAAGTGAGTTTACAAAAATTGTCAAATTTTTAAATTTATTTTTTTATTTCTTAGCAAACGTTCCAGAAATGGTCAAAGAAGTGGCAATGATGGGAATCAATAAAACAAGAATTTGATTAAAATTGCTAATATTAATTAAAATTTAATCATTATATATTTAATTGAAAATACATAAAAGTACTGGCACTTTTTTTTGTTTTAATGTTTTTTTCTCAATTTTTACGACTAATAGGTTTTGGTTTTTTGTCTTTTAAGCAAATTTTATCAAGTTTTTTTTGGCTCTACTTCACTATGAGTCCAATTGAACTTTTAATTCCAAACAAACTAAATAAAAATTCTATTTTTCAATACCTCAAAAAAGAGGGAATATACAATTGAAGGATCAACTTGCCCTCCGTTGGAACAAACTCCCCGTCGACAGATCATCTTCCCCAGTTGATGGAACAACTTCCCCGCCGTTCAACAACTTTTCCATACTATAATTTATTTTAGGTGATGCGACTTTTGCGGCGCGTACACTTGCGGCTCAGACATTTGCGGCCCAGACATTTGCGGCTTCCCCCTATTGTGACACTTGCGTCCCCGACATTTGCGGTTTTGACACTTGCGTCCCCGACATTTGCGGCCATGATTTAAAAATTAAGTAAATTAAAAGAAAAAAATCCTAATTTATCGTTTAATAAATATCGGTTCTAATTCCAATTCACAAATCCTTTCATTCCTATATGAAATTGTAACTGTATTAAACACATTGGGTAATTATTGTCTCGTTTCTGGGTAAATAAGGAGGGGGTAAATAAGTAGGTGTTATTCGACTTAGATATTTTTTATCTTAAATTTATGAAAGGGGATATAGTACAATAATTTCCGATGTAGAGATAAATAAATATTAAATTTTTAATGTGATTCTAATTCTCTTAATATATTCATATAGGGTATCCCAAAATGGTGCATTGACATCAATGCTTCCTTCCTGGGATATATAAAGGCGATTAGCATGTATCAGGTATCTAGCCGTCCCGATTCCCGAAAATCGGGAATTGAATTTTTGTTGGGAATCCCGATTCCCGAAAATCGGGAATTGGATTTTTGTCGGGAAGCCGATTCCCGAAAATCGGGTTGAATTTTTATGTCGGCTAGATCTCTGGCATGTATACAGGAGGTATGCATAATTCCTATTTAGGGAATATACTTGGCATCACTCCAACCCCCCCCCCCCCCACCCCAAATCCTCATAATCTCTCTTAATTCACATAAATTCCGAGATATCTTCTCCAAATCCTTTTATTTTCTTTATCTATTGATTAAATCGAAATGATTAAAATCGAAATGATTTTTAATAAATATTTTAAAAATTAGCATGGGGAATGGAAAAAATTAAAAAAATACTTTAAAAATTACTTAAAAATACTTTTAAATTAAAAAATTTACTTAATTTTTAAATCATGGCCGCAAATGTTGGGGACGCAAATGTCAAAACCGCAAATGTCGGGGACGCAAGTGTCACAATAGGGGGAAGCCGCAAATGTCAAAACCGCAATAGTCTGGGCCGCAAGTGTCTGGGCCTCAAGTTGATAGCCGCAAATGTCTGCGCCGAAAATTTCTTAGCCGCAAGTGTCGGGACCGCAAGTGTCAAAATGGGGGCGAGCCGCAAGTGTCTGGGCCGCAAATGTTTGAGCCGCAAGTGTACGCGCCGCAAAAGTCGGCCAATCCTTGGCAACAGAAGTCGGTTGAAATTTCGACTTTTGAGCCATTTCCGATTTCCGACAGTTCCAATTTCCAGCACCTTCTTCAAGTCCCTTCTTCACCTCCGGTCGACCTCAGATTACCTCTGATTATTAAAATTTCAATCATTTTTAAATTTAGTGCAGCAGCGAAAATTACGATTCAGCTTCTAAAATTGCCAAATGTAATAATGTCATTGATTTTATTGCAAACATCTCCAATGACTTGTGTACTGGCCCAGCAAAATTATTATCCGGCACTATCATATGTAAGGGTGGATTTTCGAACTACGCGATGTTTCTAGAGCAGATTTGTGGAAATACTTATTTAGGTTCACATGGACTGTGGTGTTCAAACTTGGAAAACAAATGCTGCCTTAAAAGGGCACATGATGCTATGAGTGGATTATATCCCAGTTGTAAACAACTCTCAAAAGTAGTCACAGATTTACCAGACAAACTTTGCAAAATGTCAAAAGAAAAAGCTTTGGAGTATGCTCATTCAGAGCGTTGTAAATCCGAAATAAGTTTGATTACGTCCAAATCGCGCGAAACTTGCCACAAAATTTTTGCTCCTAATTATGTATTAACTCCAGAATTTTTGAAATTATACATCTTTTCAACTAGAATTTAAAGGTAGGTAGTTTATAAAGATTTCCAAAAATTTTATACTTAATAATTTCAGTATTTAACTACCTATTATCAAAAAATAACATAACAGAAGTGAGTGAAAATGAGAATTATTCAAGACAAAATTATTTTAAAAAAATTTAGATAATATTAATTAAATTAACAAGTGTGTGGATTGGACTTCTATGTATACGATTGGACTTCGACTACTTGCTTAATCCAAATAATTTTGGCTAACTTCTCGACCCCCAAGATTAAAAAAACAGACGAATCGGAGTCCAACCCTAATTTTAAAAATAACTAACAAGAATTATAAGAATAAACAATTTGGATAAAAAATATTTTTTTTCGATTTAATAAGTTTAGCATTTTTGCAAAAATGAGAAGTAGCCAGGTGGAAATTAAATTTTGAAAAAAAGGAAAAAAATATTTGCGTGGTAATTTTAAATTAATTATTTATTAATTATTAAGAAAAAGTATTATTCATTCATAAAAAAATTAAGCTGATTAATAAATTAAAAATAAAAAAAAAATTTTACAAGTAGGAAGAAAAAAAAGAAAAAAAATTTTCTTACCTAAAAAATAAAAAAATTTAAAAGTAAAAAAAGACAAGATATGTACTCGGCAAAAAAGCTAATAATCACGCTCCTTACGGAAATGAAAAAAAAATAATCCAGGAAGTTAAAATCATCAATTAACATTTACTTAAAAAATGAAAGAGAGATAATTCTAGTGTGTACTTATTTTATTAAGATTAAGCTTAAAGCTTCCATTTTTAGTATAAAATCAGAAAAATATATAATAAAATTTGAGAGAACGCGTCACTTTTCAATTTTTAGTTTAATTTACATCGAATAAGTCCCAAAGGAAAAGCTTAATCTTAAAAAAGAAATGAAAAAAAACATTAAAAAGGAGAGATAAAAAAAAATAAAGAAAATTCGTAAATTAAAGCTAGAAGTAATCTTTCTAATTTTATTTTAAAAAAATTTTTAACTCGCAAAAGATAAAAGCAAAGATAACAGAAAAATATAAGTTCACATATCAGATACCTAAAAATTCCCAGAAAATCCTTTTTATCTTTTCAAGAAAAAAATTTTCTCGAGATAAGAAATTTTGTTAAATTAAAAAATACTATTCTTAATAAAAATTAAAGAAAAATTTTTTCTTAGAAAATAATTATGAAAAAAAATTTTCCGTAAAAAATATAATGAAAATGAAACCAGAAACTACAAGGTAAATATGTAAACTGTGTTAATTAAATTTAAAATAAATTATTTGAATAAAAAATGTTAAGCGCGTTATATTTTTTGCAATGTTTTCTTATTGTTTGCATATTTGTTTTTCATTAAATTTATAATTTAATTAAAGATATTGTTTTAATTCTTGTTTGTTTTTAATTTGTGAAACAGAATGTTTACTTAATATAATACAATAATCAAAACATAAGATACAACTCTTTAAAACATTAAAAACCAGAATTTTTAAGCAACATTCGGAAAATTAACAGAATTAATAAATCAGAATTTAATCCAAACATTTACAGAAAAAGTCAGAATTAAATCCAAACATAAGGAATAAAAAATCAGAATTAAATCAAAACATTTATAAAAACAAATCAGAATTAAATCCAAACATTTGACAGAAAAAGTCAGAATTTAATCTGAACATAAGCAGAAAATCAGAATTAAATCTAAACATTTAGAAACAAATCAGAATTTAATCTAAACATTTAAAGAAACAAATCAGAATTTAATCCGAACATAAGGAATAAAATTTCAGAATTTAATCTAAACATTTAAAGAACAGCTCAGAATTTAATTAAAACATGTTTAAAAATTCTGGTTTTTATTAACGCTAATAATATAAAATTTAAACCACACCGGAAAACATCAACCAACAAGCAACAAAACATCACCATTATCTGAACATCCATTTCCATTGTTGTTTTGACAAACATTTGTTGTTGTTTTAGTTGTTGTTGTGATGACATTCAAACAAACGCAACTTTCTAAACAAAACATTAATTAATGTTTTAATGTCTAAATGTTCGTTTAAATAAAACAGAGTAAAATTAAAACACTCTATTTCTCTATCTTTTTAACTCTGCAAGTTTAGATGAAAATATTTATACAAACATAATACAAATATAAAGTTGTATGTAATTTTAGGTATATTTATGGGAATATATGTGGGAGACAAAAAACATGAAAATATATATGGTGTAAAATTTAAAAGGAAAATAACAATACGTCAAAAAAAGGAAACAAAATATTATTGGAAAATTAAATAAATTTTAAAAAATAGCTAAAAAATATAAGAAAAAAATTTTTTTTGGAAGACAAAAAAATAAAATCAAAGAAAAAGGAAAAAGAAAAATGGTTGGCATCAACAAAAAATAAAAAAATTTTTTTTTTAATTTTTAAATCCTCTCCTTCTTCATTCTCCACTTATGTAACATAAGAAAAATTTTTTTAAACAAAAAAAACCTTAACGGGAAAGTAATAATTGACCTCTCAATTTTTCAATTTCTTTAGCCAACATAGCCAATTCTTCTCGCATTTTAAAATTACGAGATTCCAACTCATCAATTTCACATTTTTCACTTTCCAAGGTTCGGGTACGTCGGTTACGATAACGTTGGGCTGCCTTGAAAAATATTTTTTGAAAATTTTTAAAAATTCAAAAATTTTTGACGTTAAAAAAATTTCAAAAAAATTTTCAAAAATTCAAAAAAAAATTTTTTTGAATTTTTGAAAATTAAAAAAAAATTTTTATAAATTCAAAAATATTTTAAAAAATTAAAAAAGTAAAAAAAAATTAAAAAATTTTACAAACCACTCGATTTTGTTGTTTTTTCCTTTCTGCCAATTCCTCACGCGAAAGAGTTAGGAGAGAATTTTTCTTTGCGCGTTTATTTAATTTATAATTAGTATTGGATGAAATGTCACTTAAATTACAAAATTAAAAAAATTTTTTTAAATTAAAAAACCTATTAGACAAAATTGGTTGTTTTTGTTTTTGAGTTGTAGAGGTAGGAATTATTGTTCCATTAAAAGAATAAGGAGAATTACCAATAGATGATGAACTACTACAACCACTACTAGATTGGGAATATAAGGAAGGGGAGATAACACTGCCAGACTGAAAAAATGAAAAATTTTAAACAAATAAAAATTGAAAATTGGAGGAGGCTAGGACACTCACCTGACCCGATTTCCTCACAGATTGAGAAGAAATCGAGTCTGTAGTTGAGTAACCCATAACATGCCTTCTACCACACAGCGAGCCTACTTATAATAAGCCGTAAGGTTAAAACTTATTTAATTAAAATTTCAAAACGTTTTGATAAGGTTCAATGGATAACGAAAAGCTGAATCAAAAAATTAAGTCAAGTCCGTGATTTGGAAAGAAATAACAAGTCATAGCCCTGAATGAATAGTTGGCCCGTGCCAGAAAGAGCGGTAAAGTAAAAGGAGGACCAGTGTCATAGTTAAAAGGGGAAGAGGGAAGGATACTAACCAGCACTTTACTTAAACTAATTTTTCAAAGGACAGAACAGCAGAAAGCAAAGCTGCGTCGAAATTTCAATTTCCGAAGATTTTTTGTTTCGACGCAGCTCTAGTAGAATGAGAAGAGGAAAGGGACCGAAAAGCTTAAAAAAATTTAAGAAAACCTCAAATCGAGTAGCACAATTATTATTATTATTAACCACCTTTTCATCATCATCAAATAAATTTTGTTGCTGCACAGAACCAACATTAGCAGAAATATCACTAAAAGTAGTAGAAGGGCGTCTATCCATACAGAAAAGCTTTAAGAAAAAATTTTTTATCTTCCAATTAATTCCAAAAAAAACCTTTTTTTCAGCAGCAACTTCATCTTGTACTTGTTTAATTAAATCATCAATCCAAAAATGCCAATCATTATTTATATTATTATTTTGAGAAGAGTAGGAAGAGGAAGGATTTGAAGGAGTTGTTGATGCCAAATATTGTTGAGGGGAAGACGTTAAATAATTATTTGAAGGAAAATTTTGTTGTTGTTGTTGTTGATTATTGTGGTTATTATTAAAAGAATTATTAAAAGAATTATTTAAAAAATTAGAAGAATTAATATTTTGTTGATACTGTTCCGAAGAAGAAGATAAATGTTGATTGTGATTATAATAATTTTCAAAACAATTTTCAAAACAATTTTCAAAGTAATTTCCACCACCATCACCATTAAAACACTCATTATTGTAACTGTTGTTGTTGTTGTAATTGTTGTAATAACAATTGTGAGAGTTGAAGAAGTCGCCACTTGAGGCATGGCCCGAGGCACTTGTTGATGTAGTTGTGGCAACGCTGTTGTTTGCAACACCCTCCAACTGCTGATAATTTTGATGATAACTTTGACTTTGATGATAATTTTCTAGACTTGGCCTTCTTAAACTTTGAGGAGCAGCAATGAACCCACGACTGGTGAATATGTCGGCACATTCGGGTGCTGGAAGGAGACGAGGTGGTTGAGAGCTATAAATTTAATTTTTAATTAGAGAATATTTTTTAGAATTTTTTGAACAAATTTTTGGGTAAAAAAGCAGCTCAAAATAAAGTTAAAATATTCAAAAAATTTTTTAAAGCACCCCCAAATTCAAAAAAATTTCTAAAAAATTTTTATTTTTTCCTCTCTACCTAATCAAATCTCCTCCTTCCCCTCTCACTCAAACACAACAACAAAAAACACCTCCCTTCTACTTGCGGACATTGCCGCAAAAATCTCGTTTATCAAATCTTCTTCTTCATCCTTCTCCAACATAATAACCTTCTCCTTATCTCTTTCTTCCTCCACAGACAATACCAAACTCAAAAGATGCAAAAGCTATAGAAAATTGTTTAAAAAAAGGAAGAAAAAAAAACAGAAAAACGAAAAGATGTCAGAAAAAAGGAAAGCTGAGAAATAAAAACAAAAACCGAAAAAGAAGCTAGTAAAAACCAGAAAAGCACGAAAAAACTGGAAAAACAAGAAAAAAAGACCTGAAAATTTAACTTCCATAAAGCTTAAGCAAGCAACCCCCAAAATAAAAAAATAAGGTCCCTTATAAGCAAGCACCCCCTCCCTCCCTCAAATCAAAAAAATAAAAATCAAACAAACCTCATCAAATTCGCTTCCTCCTCCTCCATAATATTCATCATCCCCTCCTCCTCCTCCTCCTGATCCATAATATCCGCGCATTTCATAACACATGAGGCATGGCATATCGGGGTAAATAGACGACTTCGGGTTGGAGGCGTCGCACTTAAAAATACACTTCGGTCGGCCAGTAAACGTTGTAGTGGAGTTTGTTGTTCCGCCACAAGTTTGTCTCCACTTGAGGCCGCCGACTCCGCGACGGACAAGTCGCTGAAAAAAAAATTTTTTTTTTTGAAAATATTAACAGTGTTTCCGAACAAAGCTTATAAGGTTCATACTAGTGATGCGGGGGTTCCAAACCGTCAAAGGTCCGAAACGGGTTGAAACCGGAAAAAGTCAAATTTTGGTATTTCCGCATCACATGTCACCCCAGGTAAGAGAAAGGTTGAAGAAAAGTAAAAAAAGTCTACTTCAAATCCCTAACTTTATGGCATTCGATAATTAAATAAAGGATAAAGTGTTCATCAACAGATGCCTAGTTCAAAAAAACCAAACAGTTCCAGGTCCAAATATTTACAGATTATTGACGGTTCCATGATTCCAGGAAATGTTATTTGGTCCAGAATAGTCAATCGATAGTGACGATTTGAAGTATTACTGGAATGGTTTTTTGTACCAGGAAACGTTAAACATCAAGTGGAGGGGGAACTGACCACAAATACGAAATCGAACAGTTACTGTTAGGCGCTTCCATAGTATTGAAAGTTCCCAAATTTCGGCAAAGGATTTTTCTGAACAGGAAAATCTCCAACATCGAAGGAAAGTGGTTCGAAGAGACCCCAAACCTAATTATAACCCTCTAAATTAAAAGAAAATATACCGGTAGACGAACTGGCCGATTGCTTGAATCCCAATCTGCTCTATTGCCTGATCCAAATCCTCGTTGAGGTACTCCAAGCTGTTGACGCCAAACTCGCGGTTTTTGTTCCAAAACAGACGGGGATCGTTCTGGGGAGGCAGGTGCACAGAAAAGAGACTGGTGATGTTCCTTATTCATATTTAACGTCCTATCCTGATCATCTGGTGGTGTCGCTTCTTGTAAAAGAAGATTGTGGTCAGCCAGAGGATTATCCGCATCATTATTATCATCTTTATCATTTCGATTCACATCCTCACAGATTATCATTGTTCGCGTTAATTTGGGTTCTGGAGCAGTTGGAGCGGTCAACATCGTCGAATTATTATTACTACACAATTGATTCACATCCTCGCAGATCTTAAAAAAATTTTTTTTGAAAAATTTTCATTAGTGATCGGCACGGAATTGGGGCCAGACTTTGAGTTTTCCTGGATCCAGAGTCAAAATCAAACATTTTCCGTGTTCCTTAATTTCAAGGGCTACTTGTGGGTTTCCCAAACCAGTTTTTACAGCTATGTTTACATGCGGACTCATAATGGTCAGATATTAAAAAAGATCGTAAGCGTTAATTATCACTTCCATTCATACACTGAATAGAAAAGGAAGGAAACCCCAGGAAGGTCAAAAAATGCTTGGGCATGGACTCAGGGTACAGGAAAAACCCCAAGCCTTAGTCCAGCCCCAGTCCGATCTCTACTGACCATTATGAGACCAATATGATTATGAGTCCGAATATACCCAGAAAAAATGGTGTGGGAAGCCCCATAAGTACCAATAATGGTCAAGAATTTTAAGGTCCTCAACCAAAATCAACTTGTGGGTTATTCCAAGCCAGTTTTTGCGGACATATTTATGCGGATTTTTATATACGAAATGGTCAAAATTTCAAAGAATTTCTTCCTATATCCACAAAAACTGGCTATGGATAACCCACAAGTACCTCAATATTAGGGTTCGGGGCCCATTCCGGTCCGAAAGATCGAATCGTGTATCGAATTTTGGCCCAAAAAAGACACAGTCGGACCGGCCCGATAAAAATGACTCGAATGTCGGCCCGACTCAAAAACCCCAATCCTACTCAAGATATTTTTTAAAGATTTCCTATAGCTAATATTCCCTTAAAAGCAGGGCTCTCATCGACAAAATACCACTCAAAAGTATCAAAATCTCGATAAAAAAGTATATAGGGAGAAAATTTGCGAAAAAAAAGTAGTCTCAAAATTAAATTAGAAAATATTTATTCGTCCTCAAATCTTTCATATTTCTCTCGTAAATGAATCTTTTCTAATAATTTCTTGTTTCAACTGAGCATTTTGTCAATTTTAATGGACCTTTTGTGGCGCCGAAGGCGCCACAAAATCTATTTTCTGCGCCGCAGGCGAAAATTTTGAGAATTTTAGAAGCCGTAGGCCAGAAAATTCACTTTTTTGCCCGATCCCTTCCTTAATTTCATTTTCAATCAAAAAAAAGTATATACTTTCAAAAAAGTATAAATTCAATTTCGTAAGTAGGGAGGTCGATTTAAAAGTAGAATACTTTTAAAAAAGTATAAATGAGAGCCCTGCTTAAAAGAATTAATTAAAAAATAAACCATTTCAATTCTCGATTGCATTGTTTCCTTTAAATTTTGTTTAGTAGTCTTTCCAGTCAATTCACAAAAATATTCTTCTTCTTCTTCTGTTGTTTCGAGCTTCAGCTTTGCTGATGCCACGTTTATTAAAATTGAATAAAATAGAAGAAACAAAAAACTAAGCAGCTTTATTTGCTATAGAAAATAGCCAAAAAATATTTTTAAATAAAATAGATTAAATTTGTTGTTTATTTGAATAGCTTTGCTTTCCAACTGGCTTTAACTGAAAAAAATAAGGGAAGATTTTATAATAGAATGACATCATATATAAATCAATAACCCTATGGACTGGTGAAAATAAAATAAAGAAACTCAAGGAAATAAAAAAATTAAAACGGAAGGACCAGAAAAAATTAGGGGAACAGAAAGCGGTAAGCCTGAACTAGGAGGTTGGGGGTAAAGACTATAGTGATCATTATTTTTTAAAGGCCTGAACCTGTTCCTGGGTTTGATTGGTTTGATTTACTGGTCTGGGCCGGATCCTGGGCCTGTAGTCCAGGAAAAACGCAGGATGGTCAAAAAATGCCTGGGCCTGGACTCTAGGTACAGGCCCAGACCCAAACCCTTTCCTTTCCTAATTGCTTCTTAATTTTCTCCTATATCTTCATCCTAACCATAGTAAATATCCTCCTTCCTACAAATTATCGAAACTCCCTCACTCCCAGAGATGATGATAATTTTCCTTGACTTTTTGGGCTTCACATCTCTCTCTCCTAACCAAAATTAAAAAAACCAAAAATATACCAAAATGAAAAACCAGAAAATTAACCGCGAGAGAAGAAAAAATAATATAAATATCGTCTAGTTGTTAGTATTTTTTTGCTGCTGCTAAAATAATAAACCTTGTGATTAAACGATTAATTTTTAGTTAGACGCGTTAATTTGCTTTGCTTGCTGATTTATATTTAATTTTGTTGTTGAATAGATAACTTTTTTTAATTAAAATTTGTTTGCTTTAGATTGCTAAAATAAAAATATCAAACAAAATTTAAAAAAACCCTGAAAAAATTCGAAAAACCTCGAAAATTAAAAAAATCTAAGAAATAGTGCATGAAAATAAGAGAATAGACAGAGATAAAAACAAAAATATTAATAGAAGCGAAAAATGACATTATATCCCATTACAGTATATTTTCTAAATAAAAACGCGTTCTTTTTCTAATTCAAAAAATTAGGTCCCAGATCAGTTGGCATTCGAGCCCTATAACTTTTGAAGGAACAGTCACTTTTGGGCAAGTTTGATACCATTCGATAGAGGACATTTTAAGCTACAAAATGACCAGAATTAGAAATTTTATGATAAAAATTGAAAAAGTTATGACCTTAAAACTACCATAAAAAGGCGTCTTTTCTTGCAAAAAAAAGTTAGTTTTTAGACTATAACTTTTGTTATAATTTTCATAAAAATTTGGTTTTGGTATCATTTTGTAGCAAATTTCGTCCTCTATTTAATGACGCCAAAAAATTAGGAAAAAGTTAGTTTCCAGATTAATTGCTTGGGTTAGAACACAACCTAGTCGTAGCACACACCCAAGCTACTCCTATTAAAATTCATCGAAAGTTGATTAAAACAAATATTAATCAACTCCAAAAAAACTTTTTTAACATTAATTAAACTAATTAGAGGAGACAAGGCTTGGTTAAACTGCTTTTTACCAGTAAAGTTTTCTCTTATCGCGGAAAACAGGGGAAAATCAATGATAGTTAATTGGTTAAAAAGAAAGTTTTTTTTAGTTTAATGAATGTTGTTGATGTTGGTGTGGGTGAAATAAACTATATAATGAAAGAAAAATGTTAGGGGTGCAGAAAAAAATATATGGGGGATGGGGGAGGGAGAAGGATGGAATGTTTGGTTGGGTCTGTGTGTCCATTTTCAAAGCAACTAAATAAAAAAACGATGTTTGGTTTTTAAAAAATAATAATTTAAGGTTGTAAAGGGGATCGAGAACCTTCTCAAAAAAAATTTAAAAAAATTTTAGAAAATAGATTAGACTAAAATTAACAGCAAGAGAAAGGCTCTCTCCTCTCTCCTTATCAACAAGTCTCCCTTGTCAAATTAACTAGGAGACTGGTTTTTTTATTTTTTCGTTAATTTCAGCGTATTAAAAATCGTCTTAAAATAATCTCTTGAAAATAATACTTTTGCTATTTAAAAAATATATAAATGTTTCGTTTTAATGATAAATTGATAAGAAAAATAATAATAAATTTAAAAATAAAGTTTATTTAAGCTACTTAACGACTTTTCTAAAAACTCGCATTAACCTACTAGTTGGTTAAGTGCAACAGTGCTAGACTCCCCTATGCGAAGGTGTTGTGTTCGAATCCGTTTGTGTCCCAGATATTTTTTAATCCCTTTTTAGAGTCTCTAAAATTGAAAAAAAAAATTTTTTCTAAAAATAAAATTTTTAACAATTTTTTAAACCTATTTTTTATCTAAAAAATTCCAGAAAAAATAAATATTAATAAATACACAACCATAAAAATAAATCATTTGACTGTGACTCTTCAGTAAAATGACCATAAATCGGTTATAAAAAAAATAAAAAATCTTGTGATTTTTAAAAATAAAAAAATAGGTAGAGGAAAATAACCAAATTAAAAATAAATTAAAAATAAATTAATAAAAATTAAGAAAAAAAAATTTTTTAGTAGACGTCTAGTAGGGGGGATTTTTTAACTTGTGAGTAAGGGCAAATATTACGAAGTTTATTGAGTGTATAATATAGACTGATTAGAGAAGGAAGTGACACGTGAAAATCAGAAAAATAAAAACAAGGAAGTTAAATATATTTCTTAATAAATTTTCAAGAAAAAAATTTTTTTGAAGCAAAAAATTTAAAAAAATTTGAAGCAAGTTTCAAAATTATTGAAGCAAAATTTTAGAAGCAAAAGCAAAATACAAAAACGAAGCACATTCAGAATAATGAAGCAGGATATACTATTTTGAAGCGAAGTTAAAATTTAAGAAGCGAGTTTTGAAAGATGAAGCAAAAACAAAAAACTTGAAGCAATATCAAAAAACTTGAAGCAAAATGGCCACTTAATCGCAGCGTCAATTTTATGTTCACGACTGGGAAATTTTCCAAAAAAAAATTCTTTTATAATTTTTATTATTTTGTAACAAATTTTTAGAGCTCTATTAAAAAGTAACAAGCTTACAAAAAAATGAAAGCCTTTCAAAAGTTAAAGGCCTGCGACTATATGCTTCGTTTTAGTTATTTTGCTTCTGCTTCAGAATTTTTCTTTAGAATTTCGAAACTTGCTTCAAGTTTTAAAATTTTGAAGACCCATAGGTCTTCTCAGACCCTAATCATGTGTGAGGTATTTTTTAAAAATTAATAATAATTATATAAAAATAAATTTTTTAAGGAAAGCCGATAAAAATAAATAACGAAATCTTATTTTAATTTTAAAAAGAAAATTTAAAAAAAGTACATACACGTGTTTGAACTTTTATAAAATTTTTAAAATTAAAAATACTTATGTACTTTAATTAAATTAATAATAAAAGGGCATGAGCACTTTGTGCTTTTAATGATTGTATTGATAAAAAGATAAAAAATTTCAAATTAAAACTAGTTTTTGAAGCATTTAAAAGGGTACAGCTAGGCGCGCGCCAAAGTAGGCGCAAAGCAAAAACTTGCTTCAAGTTTTCCGAATCCTATCAAATTTAGTATTA